GGTAAGCCAAAATGTTCACAAAAGGTGCCTAATTCTTTCCTACTTTGGGCTTTTTCTTTTGCTAGTTGCCTCTGAAGCTTATCATTTTGACAGATTTCCAAGGCTGTTTTTTGTACAAAAGAAATTAATTGACCATAACTCAGATGGTCATAAGGAATAATGTTATTAGGTGTTAAAGCCCTAATTTTATCCCTAACTTTATCGCCTAAAGATCTAGGAAGATCGGCTAAAAAATTTTCTTTCCAAAATGGTTGTTGACTATTTTCTCTTGTAAAACCCCTAGTAAGGAAAGTATCCTTATACCACTTAAAATCTCCTAAGGTTTTACATTTGAGGTTAGACAGAAGTTCAGCAGATCTATCTTTCCATAAAGATGGATCTCCTGTAAAATGTTGGGCTATAGTAAAAATTAAGGTATTCACCGCATCTGGAATGGTCTCACCATTATTGAAGATTGGTTCACCATTGTCATCGATCTTAACAGCTGAAAAGATCCCTAATTTTTGTGCTTCAGTGAGATAATGATCCCACCAACCTTTAAGTTGCCCTGTAAATCCTGATACTATAATATTTGCTATAGCTTCCTCAGAACTCTCATGGGTTGTTTGGTAGGCAGTACAAACCATGGTCATATGTTGTAACATATGCATGATATTGTATTCAGATTTACCATCAATATTCCATTCATAAACATTGTTGGCATTAAAACTACTATTATTGAGATCCTTATCTTCTATGGCCAAATCTAAGGATGTAGAGGGATAAGGTTTTGTTAGACCTTTCCATTGTGTTTTGGAGGTGGTCATGATGGGATTAATCTGAATGGATTTGGGATTACTAGAATCAGAATCCTGGTCTGATCCTTGGTTTAAAACACCTATAGTTCTTGCGGGCATTCTTAATTTGGGTCTAGAATAGAGGCTTCTTCAATACCTTAGGGTGTTTCAGGGATGGTGGTAGCTTTAAGCAAATTATTAATTTTACTTAATAATTCACTAGCATCCGAATCCATATTGGCCTTTGCCTTAGCCTTTTGCAAAGTTTGTTTAGCCTTTTGACTAAGCTTGAAAGATTGAAATAGAGGTTTTTCTAAATGTTTAGAACTTGAGGCTTGGATAGTTAGTGGTTGGCTTGATTCAGATCTATGGGCAGCTAATTTGTCACCTAGAACCTGGAGGTACTTGTTTGTATAATTAACCTACTCCATAATACTTTTAATGTCTTTAGAAGTTAAATTTTCATCTACATCCTTGGTCTTAAAGGGTGCATCAAGTACAAGGTTGTTCTTGTCATCCCTAATTTGAGGGAGTTGGTATTGGGTTTTTGGAGGAAGTTCAGATTGGACCTTCTCTCCGTCTTTGAGATGCCAAACAACATTTGCGAAATATTGTCCTATAAGGTCATCTCTGAAAGGATAATCTATATCTTTCTTAATGGTATAAGCATGAAACCAATCAAGAAAGGGGATATTGAGTTTGACATGATTCAAGAAATTATAATAAATTTCCTGAATCTCTACTCTTTTTGAACCTTGGTAATTTTTCAAAAACCAAGATCTTTGAGGTTGATTTTCCTCCGAGGCAAAATCTTTATGGAGGGCCTTTTTATCAATTTGGAACTCAGATTGTATCATAATGATCATTAAGGGAAGAATAGGTTGGAGACTGGATAGACTTTTGGTCATCCTCATCATTGGTTTGGTAAACGGCTCTTGGAATGGTTGAATTGGTTTCGATTCCTTGAAGATTTGCATTAGGAACAATTATTCTAGGAATATTGGTTGCACTAGATTGTGAGGCTATTGAGAAGGATCTTCTAGCAGAAGTGTATTCAGATCTAGTAGCTTCGTTCTTGAGGAAAAAGAATTTCTCCTAGATATACCAACTAGCAACAAAAACTACTTAAAATACTTGGGATTTATATGTTCACTTCACCTAGATATATGCACACATACACACACACACACACACACTATATATATATATATATCATATCCCTTTTTATTATTATATACATATTCTTATGCTGCTTTTCCCTCTTCTTCATGTGCCTATCTCATTATTTAATCATAGACATCTCACCAAACTATGTGAACTTTTC